CAATGGCGAATGCAAGCTCTAACAGCGAGAAAATTAACTGAGTATAAGAAGGAGATAAGAAGGCCAAAGCGGTCTGACTTTAGATCCTTTTGCGAAAACATCACTTCTACTCCTCATGCAGCTAGATTACACAAAGCTATGGCCATGAGTGGATCTATCCCCATCATAGCACTTAAGAAATCTGACGGAAGCGGAGGGAGAGGAAGAGAGAGAGCAAATCTCCTACTTAATACACACTTTCCAGGTAGCATACCTATTGATACGCAAGTAGCTCCGACCGTACCCCACAATCTTGCGGGGAAGACTGGGAGATGGCGAAGCTAGTAGTAACAGAACAAAAGCTGAATGGGCGATCGACACCTTTCAGCCCTATAAAGCAGGAGGAGTGGATGGGATCTTTCCTGCCCTTCTTAAGGAGGGTCAGCAAATAGCTACTCACCATTTACTAAGCATTACAAGAAGCAGTCTAGCGATGGGATATATACAACCATCTGGAGAAGAGCAAAAGTAATCTTCATACCCAAATAGGCAAAACTGACTGGACAAATCCAAAGTCATTTAGGCCTATTTGTCTCACATCGTTCATACTAAAACGCTGGAGAAAGTAGTTGACAACCATATTCGAGAAAATCATCTAAAGGTTAAACCACTGCATGCTAGTCAGCATGCATATAGAAAGGGCAGATCCACAGAAACCAACTGTACCAATTAACAGAGCTAATACAGACAAGTATGGATAGCAAAGAAACAGAAACAGCACTTTGTGCCATCTTGGACATTGCAGGGGTTTGACAATATACCACATATGGTGGTCAGGCGATCTCTTGAAACAAGAGGGCTGAACAGAACTATTATTCTCTGGTTTTGGGAAATGCTGTCAACACGAACAGCAGAGGCTCAGATGGCACCAAAACTGTAGCTTTTAAAACAACGAAAGGAACTCCACAAGGTGGAGTAACCTCCCTTTGCTGTGGAGCTTGGTGGTGGATGAACTACTAGATGAATTACCTCTAGCGGGAATACACTGCATTGGTTATGCAGATGACATAGTCGTGATCGCTCGGGGGAAACATGAAGGCACCTTGTGTGATATTATCCAAAGAGGACTCCGTATACACAGGGGGGGGGGGGGGGGGGGGGGGGGGGGGGGGGGGGGGGGGGGGGGGGGGGGGGGGGGGGGGAGGGGGGGGGGGGGGGGGGGGGGGGGGGGGGGGGGGGGGGGTGGGGGGGAGTCCGCGATGTCGATGCGAGCGAGTTCGAGGGGGTGGGACACAGTGGAGAGGGGGGGGGGGGGGGGGGGGTCTGAGGGAGTGGAAGAGAGGGAGTGATGGGGGGGGGGGCCGGCCGATGAGAGAACATGGTGTAGGACTGTTGGGCTGAGTATCAACTCATACAAAACCGCGATAGTGCAATTCACCAGAAGGCGAAGTCTGAAAAAACTTGAAAAGAATCCAACTAGATGTAAAGGAAATACTGCCAACCAAGGAAGTTAAATACCTGGAATAACCCTGGACAGTAAACTCCTGTGGAACAGTCATATTAAGAACACTACCAGAAAAGCCATAAAGGCTCTCATGATATGCATAAGACTGGCCGGAAATAGATGGGGCTGCTCCCCTAACACTTTGCGCTGGATGTATACCTTGATAGTAAGACCCCTGATTACTTATGGAGCAGTTGCCTGGTACACAAACTAGAGCCACGGACGCCAAGGCTAAACCTATGCACAGTCCAGAGACTAGCATGTTTTTGCATCACAGGAGCCATGAGAACGTGCCAAACAGCAGCAATGGAGGTCATTCTAGATCTAAAACCACTGCACATTGTCATTGGAAGATATGCCAATGCGACAAATGACATTAGAATGGTCATTAACGGAATTAGTACTGGAGAATTGTCAGATCAGGGCTTGGAACACCCTCAAAAGGAATACCACTTCTGCAACTCCAAGTGGACGATATGCCAGAACGTACAACTTTGAAAAACATGTCAATGTAGTTATTTGACAATAAGAAGGATTGGAAGAGCGAAACGCTTGCCCAGCAGTTAAAGACCATACATACTTGGTATACTGATTGCTTCCAAAACCAACGGGAACAGGGATCGGAGTGTTGGGCCGAGAGCTATTCTCCGAATCAATGGGCACTTACCTAGTATCCTACAGGCAGAAATCTACGCTATCGGGAGATGCGTACAACTTATCTTAGATAGGACTATGAAACAAGAAATAGCCATCTTATTCTATAGTCATATGAGCTTAACGGCGATCACTTCAGTATCAATCAATTCGAAATTGGTCCAAGAATGCATAGGAGAAGCTGAATAAATTAGGCAAAGAAAACAAAGTCCTCCTACACTGGTGCCCTGCCTCACTAAGGGATAGAAGGCATGAAAAAGCAATAATCTAGCTAGCAAAGGAGCGAACACTCCCTAACTGGACCAGAACTCTTTTTGCTTGTACCAGTCAGGTATGGACATAACTCAAGGCGGAACCTCCAAGAACTTGGAAGATTCCATCCGCACCCTGGAATGGAAATCTTGCAATGGTCTAGGACACACGAAGAAATTTTCTGAGGGCTTATGATCATGAAAAATCACAGATCTTCCTGGGTCTGAGTAGAACAATCTTCGGATTGTCACGGGGGTTTTTAACAGGACACTGTCTCCCAATGAACACCTCAGTAGATTGAAACTAAGAGAAACGGCGAATGCAGATATGCAGATTCTGTGGGAAGATGGTGAAACACCAGTACACTCATCACTGAGTGCGCCAAAACGACAACCATTCGTGCATGAATTTTTGGTACGACTGATATTGGAGATGGAGAACACCCTCTATAAAAACCGTCCCAGATACTGGCTTTTGGGACTGTATGATGAGCCCTGGGACTGTATGATGAGTTATGATTCAAGAAAGGGGGACACAATGGATCTGTAAGGTCGAAGTGATTAACCCCCCTCCCACTCATTCTAAATTCTAATTCTAAAACTATAGTAGGTAAATTAAATAAAAGTAAACTGTTATAAATTTAAATAAAGTCCATAAACTAATTTCGATTCTAAAAATATCTACTAACTGTCACTTGCCATGACGGCACTAGCTTTCTGAGTTGCCATTTTATTGAAAAATTGCTTTTTATTCAAAATCTGAGCTATAGATAGGTATGGGAAACCCTAATATAGTTTGAAAGAGCATTTAAATCTGCTTCGGCTTATTTTAAAAAAAATACAGCGTATTGCATTTGAAATAAAGAAGTTTTTATGCAAAATAAATATTTAAAATATACCAGCAATTTTTTATACCCCTGTATACATTAAACATTAAATGAAGCAATCAAATTTTTCAGTAAAGTTAAATGTTGACAATCTTTTTTATCATAGCATGCATTTTTAAATATCTTTAAATATTTCAAAAACCAAAGCTTGTAAACAATCTTAACTGTAATAAATGCGTTATTTTGTGTCCAAGGATCCAAAAATAAAATAAAATACCGGGTGTATTCCATAAGAAAAAATATAACTTTGGTGTGGATCTTAGTTCTGAAAAACCCTGTATATTTCAAAATAATTTCAAATTGTGCACATTGCCTCCTCACATATACCCATAAAATATTTTGTATCTATATCTTTCCGTTTTTGTATAATCATCTGAGGTGAATCAGGAACCGCCACCCTGTATTTTCATTATTAAAATAATATTTCTCACAAAATTCTCCAACAATTACCACAACAATTACTCTAGCCTACAATTTGAAAATACTTTCAAACATATATAGGGTGTTACCAATATATTTTTACATATACTCTTAAGTGTGACCAGTTGACACTAATTTTTGGAAAAGATTAGACTAAGTCACAAATGAGAAACTTAATATCAAGTTTTTCAGAACATTGAAGTAATCCATCTTTTTGTCTGATGGACATAAGTCTAAGGACATACCCCTGTTTATGATGCAACCTTTTTCAGATAAGCAGATAAGTAGGTATGCATGTAAAAATATTGTTTTATGGACAGACATATGCACACTCTTTGGAAAATATATACAGACTGTAAATTAGAATCAAATCTATTACAGGTTCAGAAAATTGTAATAGACAAGTAACATATTAGATAATTATAGTTGAGGTGTTGGAAATTGGAACTTTTGGTGTTTCCAAAAAAAAAACAAGAGTAAAACTTAATTCACCACAATACATCGAAACGCGCGTTTCACTGATAGCTATGTTAGCATCATCAGCAGATATGATTAAAACTTTTTAGTCTTCTTGTTAGCGAAACGCGCATACAGTGCTAAAAGTTTTGGTGTATTGTGGTGAATTAGTGTTTTATTTTGCTGACATTAGGTAATGTAATTACCTAATCTTTATAAGAATATGTGTTTGCTACTACCCTAAATAATTTAAACTTCAAAATTTGTATGCATGAAGAAGATTTTTAATTAAATAGGGGTACTTACACACCCGGCAGAATTAATACGTAGAAACCAGTGCTTAATAACAATCTAAAAGTTTACATCACTTACCTACATAAGAACGTTTTTCGTTGGAGTTAAAAAGTTAAAACATTTTCATACAATCTTAATAAAAATTACCACCGCCTTTATAAATTAAAACATGATACACATTCCAAATTCAAAATAAGCTATTTCCAAATTCAAAATAAGAATAAATTGACAGACACAAACAAAAGTTATTACTTACCATAGATTATAGTGGTTGTTTTTACTCACAGCTGTTTAAAGTCACAAAAAATTTTCAGCCTAGATCATATATAATTTATATGATACTAGGGTTGGGACAGAGATAACATGAAATTAACAACATTTTTGTTATTTAGGAATGTTACAAGCAATATTTTATACTATATTTGAGTTTACAATTATATCTTCAACTTCTACGTGTAATTTTAATGATTTAATTAATTCATTTAGTAGTCAAAAACCTTGGTCAAAGACATAGTAAAAATTGACGTTTATCGTAGTTCTTTTATCTGACAGCTGACAGTAGTTCGGAGTTCTATGATTCTTGGTTTATTTATGACATATTTATGTTTTTTTATTGATTTATTCCATATTCCATTTGATTCCATTCTTTGTTTTTGTATTTGGTAATTTTACAAAGTTAACATTTTTCAAAAATCCTGTGATTTCCAATAAAACTTGATAAAGCTAATCATTTTTCATATTTCACATAATTTTTGTTCTATGAAGTAATAGTTGACAGAAAGAAAGTTAATTGGGATATATTTAAATTAGGAATCTTATCTATTTTCAATTATTATTAAGAACAGTGTTGAAACGTTATTATTGAAACTGTATTTAAAAAAAATGTCAGATTTAGTTTCCAAATGTGTTTTACGTGTTGAAGTGAATGACTCCAGTGAAAGTAATAATGGTATGTGGTTTTTATAAGTTTTTATATAAAGAACGTTCTTTTAAAGGCGTTTTTTAGGCACGCAAGGAGCAGAAGCTCTTGCCCAAAATGTTGATCCGAAACAAAAAAACCATGGACGACGTAAAGTTCGTGACATAAGTGTTGAAACCTTCCCTAGTCGACTTGAAACTCCTCGAGATGACTGGGGTCTTTTACCTATATCATCAAGGGAACAGACCCCTTTGACTGAGAAAGATGCTATTGAATTAGCAGAAGATAAAGGGGAAATTGGGTTTTTCAGTGGTAATCCTTTTGTTGAAATTACAAAAGGAATTTTACACTTATATAAAGAAGAGTAACTATTAAAATGCATATTGTTATAATTGTTTAAATACTGTTTTTTAGTGTATTAACTAGCAGAAAAGATGCCCTTAGTTTATGCTTAGTCGGGGTTCCATGTTCGTTAACATGCCATGATCTTTTAGCTTTCACAGCTCCTTGCCATGCTGATATAGCTCATATTAGGGTTTTAAGGGATTCTATTCCTAATCAATATATGTGTCTGTTAACGTAAGTTGAGATATTTTAACATGTAGATTTTTAGAATTGCTGCTATGTATTGGTATATATTTTAGATTTAGAAGTCACGAGTCTGCTTTGGAATTTTATTATACGTATAATAGTGCACCTTTCAGTACTTTGGAACCTGATATTTTATGTCGAATAGTATGGGTTTCTAGAATTGAGTGGGCTCATGATGGATTACCACCTCCTGGACATACAGAGCTACCAATGTGTCCAGTTTGTTTGGGTATTTTGTGATCATTTTCATACAAAATAAAGAGTTAACATTTATATTCTTTCAGAACGAATGGATGAATCTGTGGATGGTGTTCTAACAATTTTATGTAATCATGCATTTCATGCAAGTTGTCTTGAGAAATGGGGTGATTCTACATGCCCAGTGTGTAGGTTTGTATGATTTTATATTAACTATATTTACATATACCTATATTATAAATGTTATATGTTACACAGGTGCGTTCAAAGTCCTGAACAAGCAGAAACTTCTGAATGTGAAAAATGTGGTAAAATAGCACCATCACCTGATGCTTTGTGGATTTGTTTAATTTGTGGTCATGTTGGATGTGGCAGGTAGTTAATCTAGTTAATAACTAACTATTTCTTTTGTTTCAAAACTGTTGCCTGTACATATTTTCCTTTCTTTTCTTTAAATTTAACTATTAAATTAATAAATATAATTTAATTTCTCAATTAAAATGTATTTAATCTTTGAAAATAAAATTTCAGAGTCTATAAAATAAAGAAACATCACTGGTTTAAAAAAATAGTGTTATTTTATTTAAAATCTAACAAGAATAATTAATAAGTTTGCCATTTTAATATGAAATTTTTAAGATACCTTGGAGGACATGCTGCTTCTCATTACATAGAATCTGGACACTGTTACGCTTTACAGTTGGGATCTCATCGTGTCTGGGATTATAAAGGTAATGCCAGATTTATTTTTAACAAAAATCTAATAAACTTTATGTAATCTTCGGTAACTATGTCTTTTTATGTAAAATGTCAGTTTGCTGAGTCCCTAAAAGTAAATTTTTCCGTAGCCCTATTTAAAAACGCATTTCCTTAACAAAAAACAATGGTGAAGATATAGATTTTACCTGCTGGTAATCATTTTAGGGGACAATTTCGTACACAGGCTCTTACAAAATAAAGCTGATGGCAAATTAGTTCCATCAGAAGGACCTCCATCTGAAGCCGAACATGCACAGGAAAAGGTTGATTCAGTGCAATTAGAATTCACTTATTTATTAACATCTCAGTTAGAAGAACAACGTTTATATTTTGAAGACAGATTAGCTTTGTAAGTTTTTAACGTAAATGATACATAACTGTAAATATCACAAAACCGTTTTCTTACAGATTAGAAATTCAGCTGCAAGATGAAGCAAAACACTTACGAAAAGAACTTACTACATTGTCTCAGGACAAAAAGCAGTTACAAATAAATGTCCATGATCTCACCAAAGAAAAACTAGCGCTGGAAAAGAAATTACAACAACAATCATCAAAGTATGTATAATTACCAGTATTATATTCTGTTAAAATTCAGTGATATTGTAAGCAGGAATAAATTTAAAAAATGTTTTGTATGATCACAGCTTAGGTATACTATATGTATACAGATAAAAATCTTATCCCTAATTCGTGGTACGAAAATTGTTTTTTATGACGATGTGCAAATGAGTAAAATTTCCTGTGCGCAAAACTAAACTCGCGTAAAATAACAATAAACAGCGTAATAGAGAGATATAGCTAAACCGAATAGCGTGCATTTTCATGCATCCGTTGTCCGACGGTACGATGATACGATATTAATTTTATTGGTTGAATTTAAAGGCTTCGATTGGTTAACGGTTTTTAACCAATCGAAGTCTTTAAATTTAACCAATAAACTTAATATCGTATCGTCGGACAACGGATGCATGAAAATGAAGCTTTAAGTCGACATCTGCTGTAAACCTAAGCCTCTTTATAGGTTCTTTAATATTGGAAGAGGTGGAATCCATATTTTGTGCCATATTTATTTAATTAAAACTAATCCCAGCTACTTAAATATCAAATTACCTAATAAAACTAAAGTAATAATTGAAATATAACCTAAAATAAAAGATCTCGCCGGCCGGCCCCGGTTGTCAAATACCCGCACATGCCCACTTAAGTAATTTTTAAACGTTATTAAGAAATAGCGCTTGTAATTGATCCGCAAATTACGTCAGGCGGTAACGTTAATAGCGGGTGTTGCGTTAAGAATTGACTTGCACATATCGTAACCATGATAAGGTACGCGTAAATACTGCATGGCGCTATTCGGTTTTCCGATATCTCTCTAATAACTGTGCCGGTCAGGCGCTGTGCACAATTTTAGAATCCATGAGTGATGAGTGGGCGTGCTATGTGCGCAAACTAGTAACCTAACTAGTGCCCGATTCCGAAAATTGGAACCACGAAAAACAATAAAGAAAAAACAAAGTTTACAATCTGTATAATCTGTGGTATGATTATGACCTCTGTTATGACAGTGGCATGCATATAACGTAGGCAAGAAATACTAGAAATCCCCAGAGATGGCAGTGATGCCACATTCTTGGATTTTTCCCCAAATTAGACTAAAAAAAATAATTTGGTTATTTAATTAATCAATATCTAATATTATTTTGCCTACTCTGCTTTGATTAGTACTGCAAGTCACTGGATTATGAGGTAGGAAACTTTTCATTTCTGGAAACTTTTTTGTAAACAAGTATAGGTGTTACTCTTTTTGTTAAAATTAATCATGTGATGTTATCTCCTTTTATTATTAATCTCTACTAATTTTAATGTTAGGTTATTGTTTAGGGCACTATAAATGGTTTCTTCATTTATAGGAAACATACAAATAAATGTTTTTCTTAAGGTGCTTATATTTGTTTACCCCTGCGTCTTTAAATGCATTGGATTATAATTTATTAAAATATAAAAATAAACAATTTTATGGTCTTTGCAATTTTTATAGGCTATCCACTACCCTACATGAACTGAATGAAGAGAAACATTTAGGAAAAGCATTAAGAAACAATCAACAGCAATGGCAAACAAAGTTAAATAATTTAGAAGAATCGTTTAAGGAGCTAAAAATTTCCAAAGAGAAAGAAATCGCCGATTTAAAAGAGCAAGTTAGAGATCTCATGTTTTTCATTAATGCCCAACAAGTAAGAGAGTTTTGAGAAGGAGTTTATAAGGTATAATTTAATTATTATGTTTTAACTTAAAGGTTATAGAGAAATCAGAAGACAGAGAGGATATTGCTCAAGGATCCGTTAGTATTGGGGAAGCTCCCCAAACGTCGAAAAGCAAACATCGTCGAAGGAAACAGAAATAGATTTTTTTTTTATTTTAGATCTATAATTTTGGCAATAAATTTGAGTATACTTTTGGAATTTTTTGTAATTATATAGAATAGGCATTTTTAAAATAGAATTTTATATTTATAGTTTAATTTTATTATCTCCTCTGTTAAGTTTATCAATTAATATTTATCTTGGTGTGTTGATAATTATCTGAATATTATATTAAGACTTATATACAAATTATATCTGATATTTCTTACATGTATTATGTATGTACTTTTATCATTCTGAATTCAGCCTTTACTGACATTTCCTACCATCATGGTTCTTTAGAAAAAAATCCTTGTCTCAGTATTCAGTGCCATTTTCCTGTTTCGAGAGTTTAGCGTCCTTCTTTACAAACGATGCAGGCAATAACACGCATTTTTTTATATAAACATAAAAATAGTTTCTAATTCTGTGTAATGAAACAAAAATTAAATTGAATTAAAAGAAACATCAAATATATTTTTAAATATAGGATAAAACAATAGAAACTTTTTATGTATTTTTAAGAATGATCAAATTTTATATTTTTGAAGTACCCCCGTATACAACAGAATTCAGTCCAATCATATTTAAGTATGAGCTGTCATTTTCGAAATTAACCAATAAAATTGCATAAATCGACTAAGCTCACATTTTATCAAGAACTCAGAAATTAATATTTTTGGTAACCTTAACTTTATTTCATATTTATCCAATATATATGTACACCAGAATGATATAGAAAAAATGTGTATTTTAAATCTTTAAAAACGAAAAAAAAATTATAGATTGCTTTATTTTTTGGCTCACCCTCGTAGCAGTAGTTCACTTGTCTTATCACATGACTAGCTTCCTGGCGATTTTATCTACGACCTACCAAAACAATACGCAATTGAAATTGAAAATCAGCTGTTAATCCCTGTAATCAGTTTACAGTTTAGTTAATATTTTTTAATGGTGGTTTTGTCTATCGTATAGACAATATGGGTAATCACCACAGTCGTCGATCTACTAAATCAGAGGAATCTGGACCAAATTCATTAGCCTCGTCACACAATGGATCCAGAAGAAGCATTCCAAACACAAGTTCTGGAAACGATATTCAAGAAAAACCTGTGAATCAAATGTTACCTGTAGAAAAACTAGCTACGGTAATACTATTTTATCTTATCTTGAATTTCTTGCAATAAATCGTTCTTGCCGTCTATTTTTTTGTATTCTAAAGTTCGTATTTTTTATTCTAAATATATTAATTATAAAAATTTCCGATTTACTATTCATAATCGTGTATAAATTACCTATTCTACCTATATTTATTTTAGATATTAGCACAGAAAACACAAGCAGAATCCAAGATAAAAGGAGTCACTAAAACAGTATTTTTTGTAAGTTATGTAAAATAGTTTTTTTATAATATTAAATGGATACTTTTTAGAGATATTTATTTCCTAAATATCCCTTATTGGCAGACAAATTATTTAAATACTTTCTGGATCATGCCAATATTAAAACTGACTACCTTCCCGTTGATATCTTCCGAACACAATGCGAGCGATATTTATCTGTAGGTATTTTTGGTTTGTTTTGTATTGCTAATTTAGAAGGTATTCGTACCTTTGTTTATAGATTTTAGATGATGATATTGTTAGAGATACTTTTGTAAAGATGTGGAGTACATTTGATGAAGAGAAAGATGTATATATTATAACTTCAGAATCCTTCAACTCACTTCTCATGTGTGCTTATCATGTTAGCATGGACCATTATTCAGAAGGACCCCAAATGTGTTTGTCTATAAGCAAAACTTTAAAGGTATAAAATTGTATTAAAAAATAAATTAGTGATCAATCATGTATATATTCAAATTATTGCAGTAACTGTTTTGTACAATTAGCAATTAACGAAATTCTAAAGCAACTGATATACTAGATTAATATGGCCTAATAACACCCTAAATATGGACTGTTTTAGATGGAATATTAATATACTGATTGGCTCATTCTTTTTCGTTTCCATTTTTTCGTTTGCTATAGCTACACGAGTATGCAGGGTGTTTGAAAAAACATGTGCCATCTCTCGTGGGGAGATTCCTCACGTAAAAATAAGATTTATTTTCATAGCTACAGGGTGTTAGTCTTAATATTTTTTTTTATTTATTATAATGTTCTTCCAAGTACTTTTAGCGTTTCGAATGAAATTTTGATGGCAAAAGTAACTTTAAATGCGACATATTTTAAAGCTAAAAAAAGTGGCAACATATTCACAAGTGACGTGCATATGGGTTGTATTTTGTATACTGGAATATTTTTCTAAAAAAAGCATGTACGCCACTGACTTTTTTTCTCTTGGTAGCAAAATAGTGTAAGCAGTTTAATGCCGATTAGAAGTTGTCTCTTGATATTTTATTGATTTTGGCCTCCTTGATGAGATAAACGCTATTTTATTAATTTGCCTTGATCCAAGTCTAATAGCAACCTCTAAAAAAATGTAATGGTACGTATACATTGGCGCGCTGCGCCACGAACGCTCGGCCCGTGCGCACCGATTTGCCTCTATTGGTACGTGTTTTCAAGTTGCGCGCACTCTGCGCGCAAGCAGCTAGTGGCGAACCATCTCCAGTCGGTTTTTCGACGCTCTGTTTTCTATGTTCGTTGTTCAATTGGGACGGCCGGTGAAGACACTGTGCGCATTTATCAGTGACTATGTGTGTTTTCTTTGAGTAAATTCACTTTTTTGTGTTTTTCTTTGACTATTGTTTATTAATGGAGTGTTTAAAGAGTCGCACTACTCATGATTAAAATTGCGTAGTTCTTCGCGGACGATAGAGACATGATTAACGACTAAACTAATGTTCGCGGGATTTCTGTGGATTGCGGGATGTTCGTTAAAACAATAAAAGTAACGCGCGGCCAGCGCTCGGCGCGCGCGCTGCGCGTTCGTGGCGCAGCGCACCAATGTATACGTACCATAGTATCATTAACTTGCGAAAGTTTTAAATAAGCACTCATTGATTCCTCATCAAAAAATTTGAAAAAAATTTGCCATAAACATAACTTTTTAAAATTAGCTTTTTTGTAATTATCTTAAATACCATTATTTTTTTATTTGAAATTGCTGTATGTTGGACTAATAGTTATAATATTTAATAATAAATTAGGTAAAATATATAATTTATTAATTTAGTTTTTATTTAAATTTTATTAATTGTGATTAATAAAATTGCGTTTATCTCATCAAGGAAGCCGAATTGGACAAAATATCAAGAGATAACTTTTAATTGGCATTAAACGGCTTACACAATTTTGATATCAAAAGAAAGTCAGTGTCGCAAATATTCCAGTAATAACCCATATTATGCACGTCCCTGATGAATTTATTGACACTTTTTTAGCACTAAAATTCGTCCCCAAAATTTCATTCAAATTACTAAAAGTATTTGGAAGAAAATTATAATAAATCGAAAGATTATTAAGACTTTAACACCCTGTAGCTACGGACCTATGTTGATGTGAAAAATAAGTCTTATTTTTACGTGAGGAATCTCCCCACGAGAGATGGCACATGTTTTTTGAAACACCCTGTATAGTCCGTAGAGTGGAAGGGGGTTAATCTTTACTCCACTACATTCTACCCCTTATAGTACCTGCAGCGAGAGAATATTTGACAGTGACAAGTGATATCTGTCATTTCAATTTAAAAGTAAGGTTGTATTCCGTTGCAAAACCAAGCGAATCAGATCGGTAAACTACCTTAAAGAGCGTACCGTAAAGAGCGGTTCCTGAAAAACATCGGTTTGATACGGAACAGTTTGGTAAAATATTGGAAACGTCAAATGTTGACGTTTTGTACCTATTCTCTGCTTTTACGTTTGCTTCTTTTCAATGGAGTTTAATATTGAAAAGTACTTTATGAATAAACTGTTAAACTCGTTAGACAGCGCAAGTGAAGATTTGCAGGTCCATTATTAAAACAGATCAATAATAAATAAACAAATCTAATCAATATTTATATTTTTATAGCTTACAAAACATTCACGATTACTTGTTGTCTTGTTTTTCATGTTTTCTTTAAATGTTCCTGACTTTAAGAAACAATGGCTTCATGATAAGTTTAAATGATCCTAAAAAGTCATTCTATTTAGTTAATGAAATTTATTTACCTTTACTGCCTACCTCCATTGCCTTTGGATGTAAATACAAAATATTATTACAAATTTTAGAAATTAAATGAGAATTTCACTCGAACTTCTAATATTTGCTTGATTTCTGTCACATAAATGACATTGATTGATAAACAAAACCAGAAAAACCAGCTTTCCTGCGCTGGTTAGTTTAGTGACAGTTATAACCGAATTTTTCAGGAACCGTGTTCCGTAATAAGAAAGGAAACCGATAGAAACGGAACATAAAACCAATGTTTTGTTTCGGTCAATTTTTGGATGTTCTCTGTTGATATTGTTCTTTCTCCCAATGGCCTGACGTTACATTTATTTTCTATTAGGCAGTAGTCGACGGCTGTTTCTATCAAAAATCAAGTTTATCATCCCAATATGTGTCCCATTGGTTAGCGGATAATGCTGCTAGACTACTTTTGCCTCTACATAGATATGCTGTACATTCAATTGCTACAGCATGGAGAACGATCGACCAGAATGAACAGCCAGAATCGACAGGTAATTTTATTAATACAATATTAGGATTGTATAGATATGGATTATAGAAGTAGAGATAAAATTATTTTGATTTTAGGAGTATCAGATACGTTGGCTTTAGGTTCGGCAGGTAAATTATAAAGCTATATATTTGCCTTTTAGTAAAGTTCAGCTTTGTGCTTCAGTATATGTATGAACTTTATCTTGTGTCTTTCTGTACACTTTGCATATTATTCTACACTCAGATGCAAAAAAAACAACGGAGAAATTTTTGGTCTAATTTAAAATGTTATATTTTTGTTATTTTTAGCCCTATTTTCATGAATTTTTTAGCAAGCTGTATATAATTACATCAACTTTAATTCGTAAACTCAGTTTTTTTATTAACTTTAGTATTTGGCATATTATACAAGGTTAATCGAGGGGTTGTTTTTTTACCCTAACTTTAAAACACCCTGTGCAATAATTTCGTGTGTAAATTTTCCTACAATATAATTTTACGGTCAGAACCATGTCTCCTGAGCATTTTGTTTTTTGGATCATGTCAATCAATACATGTCTTGGTTTGAGAGTCACTTTAAGAGTGAACTGAACTTGTCACCAACAATTTGCAATTTTTTCAATTATCATTTCTTTTTGAAGTTATTTTTCAATATGACAAGGCGTAATGTACAAGGTATATACTACTATGAACTCCCCATCATGTTCGACGTTTGGGAAATGCTTGGCAGGAGGGTTAGACGTCGCGAAGTGGTACTAGCTTCATTAAATGAACTTCCCTTGGTTCTTAAAGAATAATGGGAAACATAACGCTATATGATAATATGCAGCCTCAATGACAGTATGAACGGACGTATACAGGCAGTTTAGCAGCCAAGGGAGGCAATAAGAAGTATTAGGATATTTTTACAATTTTTTTCTGTTTATCTGAGTCTGACTATTACAGATATTTTCTTTAATATCGTTAGTTCTGTTATCGTTATTAATGTTTATTAAAACCAGGACTGTATCGTTAGTCTTCAATGTTTTTTTTTTAATTTAGTATGTAGTATCCAATACAGCGTAATATGACGTTACGACAAAAGTCACCAAAACCATCTCGTCATATTAAAAAATTACATCAAAATGTAATGATAATTGAAAAAATTGCAAATTGATCGTGATCAGTTTATTTCGCTCTTAAAAATTAACCAAGGCATGTATTGACATGATCCAAAAAACAAAATGCTCAGGAGACATGGTTCTGACCGTAAAATTATATTTTAAAAAAATTTACAGACGAAATTATTGCACAGGGTGTTTTAAAGTTAGGGTAAAAAACAACCCCTCGATTAACCCTGTATCATATGCCAAATACTAAAGTTTATAAAAAACTGAGTTTACGAATTAAAGTTGATATAATTATATACAGGTTGCTAAAAAAATTATGAAAATGGGGCTAAAAATAACAAAAATATAAGGCTTTAAATTTGACCAAAAATTTCTCCGTTGCCTTTTTTTTGCATCTGAGTGTATATTCTGTCTTTTATTCTCTTTCAGTAATTTTCCAATAAATTAAGCGTTGCATTTTAACTACATACTTCAGTCAAAGATTCCATTATTTTTTCTCTTCTAAAAGTTTTATCATTATTTACATCTATGAAAATCTTAGTATGATCGAAAAAAACGGCGTCAGCTATGGCTGTAAAATGAAAATCGTCAAAGTCATTTTATATGTAAATTTGTATGGGGAATGTCATCGATTGTCATTTCCAAACCAACTGGATGCCGTTTTTTTTCGATTACGCGGTATATCCTACATGGAAAACTTTGGTTTTCTATTTCAGAGGTGTGAGACCTAGAACTCTTTGTTGTAGTGAATTGTCACAAGTTTTACCGTAAACAATAAAAGAAGGTGTTTACAATAGTTTACAAAATTTGCTATAAAAAATTATATTTAAACAAAAAAAGTAAAGCAAGACCTAGATCATTCATATACAAATCTATTCAATATGGAGAATTCTTCGCCTTACGCTATTGAGACGCCTCTTTATTTTTGATTATGGTACGATTAGATGGCATTTTGAATTTACAGGGTCCCTTTTATGTATGGAAACGGTCGATTATTAGGTAAAATATAGGAAGTACCGCCAAAAGTTAAATATAAAAGTTATAGGGTTTATAAATATCTATCAGCGGGTAATAAATTTAAGTATACAGGGTCGGTCATAAAGTGGTACATCAAAGTTTCATTTTTTTTTAAATGTAACCCCCTGTATATTATTGCATATTTCGGTTCTTCCTTCAATTCTAAGCAAAAATCGAATTATACACAATGTACCTCAACCAACCGTTTCCGAGTTATTGACTTTTGAAAAAATAATTTAAACACTTTGATTTTATTATGTTCAGTTTCATTTAACGATGCCATTTTGCCGAAACTGTGATACTTAATAATATTTGACATTAGTTCTCAAGTTAGCATTTATAGATGTATAAAATGAGAATATAGCAAGTCTGGAAATTATAAAATTTTCCTCTAACATTTCAATTCTTCAGTCATAAACAACACGAGATACAGGCCAGAGACATCGATTTGTGACGTCACCGCACTAGTCGGGCTTTTGAATTGTGCTATATGGTACTTCATATGGTTTTTGCATAAATAATAGTTTTTATTGATACTTTTGCCAGATATAAATATGAAAAATATTATACACAAAGGTATTAAAAAATAATATTAACTTTTTTTCGCGTTAAAGTAATTGAATAGCATTAAAATTTAGATCTAAAACACGAACATTAATATGAAATAAACTACAGCATAAGATGAACAGAAAAAATCCAGATAATAAAAAGCATGTCCTAAAATTGTGTTAGCGAGTATTTAGCAACTAGTAATAATATACCTTGTGATAAAAAGTTTCCAAATATTAAAAAAAAAGAAAACTATACGTTTATCGACAAGTTAAGAAAATGTATTGTATATGATAAGGGCAGAATACATTTTAAAGTTTAATTAAAAATAATTGTAAAAATTTGCCTAACATATTTAAAAAATGTGGATATCAGGTAGAATTAACTATTATCATTAAGTAATTTGTAGTTCGATGTTCGAGTAACCGTCTCCATAAATCGTAAATAAAAAGATAAAAATATCATTTTGTTATATAAAATACTGAAACAAAGTACAATTCATTTAATGTCTTTAAAATATATTGCCATTTCATAATAATAATATATATTTAATAATAATTTTCAATATTTATTTCATCCTGAATTTCCAAATCTTGTTTTCTTTCATCGGGATGTTTTCTCTTTATGGGAACATGCAGTCATATAAGAGGGTTGATTTGGAAAAATTGTAGGCACAGCATCTTCTGTAGGTTTTGTACGTGACCTAGTTACAGTTAATATTGTGCCATCTGTCTATCCCTTTTAGCCGAATTTTTCCTTTTCACATGGCATTCTGCAAAATGCTTCTCACAAAGAGCAGAAGCATTTGTTACAGTGAAAGCTTTTTCGTGATGGCCAGTAGATATCTATTTCTTACGTTTTCCTGGGTCCTTTGGGAAAGAGAACGTAGAAACAGATCCTGAGGACTTATTATAATTTCTGCTACAAGGCACAGAACAATGTCGCGGCATTTTTTATTTCACAAAGTAAAAATAAAGAAACGGAAACTGTTTTACCTAAAAATACACGTCACTTACATTGGTTTAACACTATACACTAACACTAACGCTATTAATTAGGTTTTTATATAAATTTCCCAACTTTTTCCTAGCCCGGACACACAGCAGGCATCGCCGGTGTTACTATAATTTTTATCGAAAGTATGGTTTTTTCGCGGGTACGATGTTATGAATCGGATCTAGATAGTTCACTATTCACTCAGAGTACACTCAAAATTATTTAGTATAATTTTCTTAGCATAGAAACACAGATTTGTTGCGAAACTAATGAAAACATTAGGTTTGTTTACGACTACTAATTCTCGACCACTTCGGTAGAACTGTCAAAACAGTCAGGCCTTGAATATGACGTTAGCCACGCTTCAATTTATGTACATAGTGTATTACGATTATTGTTTAAAATTGAAGGAAGAATTGAAATATGCAATAATATACAGGGGTTTCATTTAAAAAAAAATAAAGTTTGATGTGACACAACTTTATGACCGACCCTGTATACTTAAATTTACTAGTAGCTAATAGGAATATAAAAACCTATTACAACAATATCACAGTTTCGGCAGAATGGCATCATTAAATAAAACCAGACACATCGAAATTAATTAAATCGAATTGTTTAAGTGATATTTTTAGAAGTCAATAACTCGGAAACGGTTGCTTTGAGATATGTATTTCGATTTTTGCTTAGAATTGAAAGAAAAATTGAAATATGTTATAATATACAGGGGGTTCTATTTAAAAAAATGAAACTCTGATGTGCCACGACTTTATGAACGACCTTGTATACTTAAATTTATTACTCGCTAATAGATATTTAAAAATCCTATAACTGTTGTATTTAATTGTTTGCGGTACCTCCTATATTTTACCTAATAATCGACCGTTTCCATACATAAAAGCGACCCTGTATTATATAAATATGTTGAATGATGGGGATTTAGAAATCAATTTATGTAACTCTGTAAATACGTATGTGTATATTGTCATGTGCTTGCAACTTTCTATTTGGATAATTTGGATATAATTGCTTTTAGTCCAAGAAAATAGGCATTTAAATACGCAGTTTGAGAAAAAACTTGAATTTTTGATATAAGTTACTTTGAAAGATCTAAAACGAATAGTGAAGAATTTTTTTAAATTCGCCCCCGAGAAGGGGTAATAAATAAATAAAGTGTTTTTTTTTCGAAATTTCAGAGAAACGGAAAGGATTTTGAAAAAAAATGTTTCAATAAAAGCTGTCCCCTGGCTTCTAGCCACTCTATTTCGGTTAATTTTGATTTGATCAAATAACTATAGAGACCATTTTTATGTAAAATTGGACGCTCCACAACTTTTATTTGATTTTTTTCTAGTTCTTACCGTTTCTCTGAAATTTCGAAAAAAAAAATATTAATTGATATTAATTAAAAAAAATAATATTTATTTCTCGGGGTGAATTAAAAAAAAAGATCTTTCACTATTCATTTTTAGATCTTTCAAAATATATCAAAAATTCAAGTTGTTCCTAAATCTTCTATATTTTTGGACTATATTCTGTCAGATGACTTTTATATTGACCTGGTTTTCGATTGTGTATATGAATGAATATTTTCTGTTACTCACAAATGAATGGCTAAACAAATAAATAAAATTTAATGCCGAAGGAGGGGGGGGGGTTAAAATGGAAAATCTGGAACTAAAAGTATTTTCATAATATAGTTGTATTTGAAACCATACGATATTGGTTTTATCCACGACTCGTCTATAATTTGATTATTATTTAGTTATAGAGTTATGAAATAATAATAATATTCCATGAAACCATTATTCACTAGTGAATAATGGTTTCATTATTCACCGCTTCCACGGATATCTCGATCCAAACTCCAAACAAGAGCTATTTGAAGTTTTTAATGTCACTTTTAGCATTCATCTATGGGGTGTTCTAAAAGTTGTTTTTCTTGTCAAAAGATTTTTAAAATATTTTTTCCTTTTTAATAAGTTTCTCATGTTTATATATATATATATATATATATATATATATATATATATATATATATATATATATATATATATATATATATATATATATATATATATATATATATATATATATATATATATATATATATATATATATATATATATATATATATATATATGTTGACATGTAAACAAATTATTAAACACCATTACGAAGAAACAATGTTAAAATTCCCTCATTTTCTACTCTAAAATTCGATTTAAAAATTTGAAGTTTTCAGTGATATCTCAACACTCAAGTGTAAAAAACGCAACCGACAAATTTCTCTTCAAATTTAAAGTGTTATATTTTTTTCATTTTTAGCCCTATTTTCATGTTTTTTTTAGCAAACTGTAAACTCATTTTTTTAGGCTTAATGTACAGGGTTAAATCAAAGGGTTGAGTTTTACCCTAACTTTAAAGCACCCTGTACACTAATTTCGTGAGGATATTTTCCTAAAACATAATTTTTCGGTCAGAATCATGTTGTTTTTTGGCTCATACAAGCTCTTACAGCTGGTAGAAATAATTAATTGTTACGTTGCAGAGAATCAAACGTGCCTTTCTATGATAGTTGTAATAAATAAAAATGTTGTAGTTGTGATAAAGAAGAAAGAAATCATAGTAAAATGTTAACTTAACTCTCTTAAAAAACTCCATTAAAAGCGCTTAAAAGTATACTGAATGAATTAGATTGTCTGGATGAGTTATGTGAATGAAATAAATGTTGTATACATGATATATTTAATATTTTGTTTTTAATAAATTTAATAAAGAAAAACTTCAGGTTTAGAACTGTCAACTCCAGTACTGGAACAATCCGGTCCATTCGGACAGGGAAAGGCTCCCCATCCACATCTACTTACCATGAGTATGTCTTGGCTTTTGGCATGTGCTTTACCACCATTGTATTCACGACCACAAAGGGCTAGTTCTCCAAATAATAGCGCAACTGGTATATATTTTCTATTATATCTTCATACTCATTTTTTTTAATTAATAATTATTTTTTCTTAAGGCATATCTAGTCTGTCATTTTTGTCAAAAATTGCATGTGCTATTCCATCCCATTGGACAATGATATACGATTCGGATGAACATGGCTTGGGCTGTAACAGGTTTCTACACCACGTTTTAGGCTATAAAAGTCCCACACTGGTTATATTCAAAGTGGAAGATAATCAGAAGTTTTGTGTGTGTTCTCCTTGTGAATGGAAAGAATCGCATCATTACTGGGGAGGGGAAGGCTCAGCCATATTTCAGCTGTTGCCCAAGTATGCGAAGTTTTTATTTTACGTTGAATAAAATGTATAAGGAAGGAGTCAGGTAGACTAGATAGAATATTAAAAAAATGTCATACCTATGTGGCGGATTCATCTCTCCGAAAAAATCCTATATAGGTATTTCGCCACTGCAAGAAAATTTACAAAATAAAATAGTAATTTTTGGTAAACACTGCTGGCGTTAATCCAAACGGAAACTACTTGTCAGCAGTTAGGCTTACAGATATACAAATTTGCTTAACAAACAAAAAATGCTGAACGTTTCGGAAAGTTTATCTCTTTCCGTCGTCGGAAGCAAAAAAAATACAAAGAATAAAGAAAAAAACTATTTAAAATATTTAAATTCAACTATTCGAGAACACTTTAGTTTTTTAAAACAGATACGTCTACAAAAACCGTTGACGTTCTGTTAAAATGACATTATATCAAGTTAAACTTTAAAATTAACAATTACTACCTGATAACAATTACTTAATAAGGTAAAACCAAAAAGCCCCAAACTTTCTGTATGATTACACAAGTATACACGGTTTTGGACCTGAGCAACTAAAAACAATTTTTAAGATATTTTTTGGAGCTGAATCCAAATCAACAGTCCATTTTTTAAGATTGGTTCTAGTTTTCGAAATATTCAATAAATTCATTATTTTACTATTTTTAACTGTTAACGGTCATTTATTGAATTAAACAATATATTACAACCTAACCTAACCTAACAGAAATGAACAGAGGTCGAACTGAGTCTTTTATACTGCTTGGGATCTGTTTCACGGATTAGGGTCCAACAGTAATCGCTCATCATGCTTTCGTCCCAAAATCCTTGGTATCGCCTTTCGATTTTCGCTATATCTTGGTGTAGCCGCTCTCCTTGTGGAAAAAGCTCTCCAAGTTTTGTGGAAAAAAAATCAAGATGTGAATGCAGAAAATGTATCTTGAGAGACATTCGAGCTCCAATCTTGTGGTAATTTTGCAACAAATTGTTTACTTGCTTGTAATCCGGTGATTTATGATTAGCGAGAAAGTTGTGAACAACACTTTGAAACGATGCCTATGCTGCTGCCACATCAAGCGTTAAACATTTTGTAAACGTTGCGTCAGCCATTAATTTTCAAATATCAGGTCGACAAATATTCCTTCTTTGATTTTTGCGTATGACAGTTTTGGAAACAACTTGGTTAAGTACTGGAAAGCCGGTCCTTCGCGATTGAGGCTTTGAATCGACTTAGCAACATTCTCTCTGCATTTTCACACGTTCCGCAGCACAATCACAATACAAATCCAAATGATGTTTAATGCAACGTCGTCAACTGACCGTGCGTCAACTACTTGGGCCGCTATAAGAGCGCAGTGCTACCACCGTACATAAAACTGAGTTTTATGTACGATGGTGCTACTGCCATGCACGAACTCGAAAACTAGAGCCAATCTTGACAAACGGATTGAAGATCTGAGTTCAGGGCATCAAATAACGTTAAGAATCGTTCTCATCTGCTCGGGTCCAAAAGTTGACCCGAATTTGTAAACTTGTGTTATTTTAAATTTTTACGTATGTTATGTTTATTTATTTTATTTTTTTTTAGTCAGCATTCATGGGACACAGGGTACAGAATAAATGGTAATAACGCCAAAATTATACTGAAAGAAGCGATAGCCTCTAAAAGAAAAATAAAAGAGGCTTTTTTAATACAATCTAATAAAAATAAATGTATTGCTCATGCATCTGTAGATTTTAGTAATGTATGGCAATCGCTTCTTTGATTTTAAAGAACATAACATACGTAAAAATTAAAAATAATCATAGAGAAAGTTTGGGGCTTTTAGGTTTTACCTTATTAAGTAATTGTTATCAGGTAGTAATTGTTAATTTTGGAATTTAACTTGATATAATGTAGTTTTAACAGAACATCAACGGTTTTTGTAGACGTATCTTGGATGTATCTGTTTTAGAAAAATTAAAGTATTCTCGAATAGTTGAATTTAAATATTTTAAATAGTTTTTTTCTTTATTTTTTGTATTTTTTTGCTTCCGACGACGAAAAGAGATAAGCTTTCCGAAACGTTTGTATATCGCAAATTTGTCTATCTGTAACTGCTGAGATTAACGCAGCAGTGTTTACAAAAAAAAACTATTTTATTTTGTAGATTTTCTTGCAGTGGCAAAATACCCATATAGGATTTTTTTGGATAGATATGAATATGAGTCGAATTTTGGTTTATCAGAGCCGTTTAATTTTTTACGAATTTTTATAATTTATTTTTATTATTTATAATAACTGTGCGAGAATGCTCACTTACGCATGTTTGAACGCAAACGAGAACGTCCGTATATATATTTTTATTATTATTTTTGAATCCAAATAACAATAGATTTTTACAAAAATAGTATTTTCTCTATAGTATTTATTTTACGCCATCTTATTTAGTCTGTTGTATCGCCGACCTAGTATTTCTGTATCTCTCATAGCTCAAGAACGAATTAGTATAAACCATTCAAAATGAACAATGTCCTTCATTTTAAGGAGTTCTTTAAAAAGTTTCAAATAAACACCTCTGTCAAATAAAATGGTGAAAACTTATTCATCATTTTTTAAATTTACATGGGATTTCCTATGTCCAAGTCGGCGATGCAACACCCGGTAGATATTTACCAAGCGACATGTGACAACACTGGCATATGGAGGGTAGACGTAAGGAGGAACATCACATGTGGGACTTTATTTGAAAGAGTAGTCATCAAAATGGGAAGAATAAGGGTTCACTAAATAACCAGTGGCGCTAACAAGCAATAAGGGAGCGAACTGAACTTAGCAGTTATAAATAAAGTGAAGTGCAAAACTACCTGGACTGGATTTTAACGTAGTGAGGTAGACAGCTTAAATGAAAAATCAAATGTATTAAAAAGAGATAAAAGTTAGGTTGATACATTCTATGCGGTATTGCCGGATTTTGCATAAAAATTTCAAACCGCACAAGTAGGTGTTTACAAAAAATGTTGCATCTAGAGTTGGAATTGCAACTTACTTAGTGTACATAATTATTTACTAGTGAATATATGACTCCTACCTTAGATTTCTATTCAGTGGTATTTACTAACAGAATAAAAAATATCACTGTTGATTTATTTCAGGTTTCAATTATTAGAGAAGGGTTCTAAATTGCTTTATTTAAATACTACAGTCAGAGGTTACGCTCAAGGACTGCGTGCTGGCTCAGACCCAAGGGCCCCTGTAATAACTGTTGATATTGGATTTGAAAAAGTATGATTTTCGATAGTTTGACTTCATTACTATTTGGTTTTCTTACAGATTGAGTGGAAAAAAATACCATACCAAATAGAAACTATAGAAGTATGGGGATGCGGTGATTATATTGAAAGGGAAAAACAATTAGAAGTTAAAAAATGGGAAGTAAAGGAAGCTGAGAGACAGCGTGTCGTGAAATTGAGTGCTGACGATTGGTTGGATCATCCAGATAGGTATACTCGTATTGTTTTATTAGGAGTAAAAATTATACTTTTAGTGGCAAGGCTGTGCGTTTGGCGACGTTACAGAAATCCAAAAAGTACATTTTTACTCCGAATGGAACATGCTATTTTTTTTCCAAACGTTCACAAATAATTTTTAAACAATTTCAAACTATAGAAATTTTAAAACATTTTCCGATGCACGTCATCAATCACATCGAAATTGACACTAAGGCCTATAAACCTGAGTAAATGAAATTTTAGCAAAAATGTTTAAATTTGTTGACTAAATTAAAATACCAAGCAGGCTCTTCATTATACTTTATAGAGCAAATGATTGTAACAGATATTTTATAACCGATTTTTATTATCGCCTTGTTGGTCACATTGCGCCATGTTCAGCAATGTTGTGTATTATTTGACAATTATCCTAGTGTCAGTCATTATTTTGTACTAGTTGAAGCCTGGCGCATTCGCCACATCAGGAAAACAAAATACTTTTTATTAGTTTTTAATTAAATGAAAAACAAAAAATCCGGCGACGACAGTTTTCAGAAGAGCCAATTAGCTATCTTTTAGTAAAAAAAGCGACTTTCTAAAGCAAGTCGTTACTTCAGTAGAGACGACACAGATAAACATTAGCATTTTATATATGTAGATAATTTGGCAAGACTTTGACAAGCCTCAAAAATCTAAAGGCTAGTTCATACGCATCGGCGTCCGTTTGTCGTTCATCGTTCCGTCAAACCAATAAAATTGAAATATATGCTCTGTCATTTTTGAAATAAACCAATAAAACTGGTTAAAAATAACAAGAAACGACGTATGACGGATTTATATTTAAACCCATCCATAGTTAACTTAAAAAATATTAGAAACTTTTTTTAGTAAAATAAATAGATTGGTATGGGACGTCATCTGTTTTTCTTCTGTCATCGTCTGTCGAAATCATACCTGAGAAAAAAAAACAGAGTATACCACGTTCTGAATGCCTACATTGAAATTAAAGGAACAAACTTCTACGCTAATTGAAACCACTAATAATTTATTCCACTATTTGCGAGGTTCTGAATGAAGCTTTAATACAAAATCTGTTAATTATGATTAGATTACAGGATGTTAAAATGAAATGTTTTTTTTTTAGATATTTATTGGAACTTGCTGGTCGACCGCAATACCATCAAAACCAAACCTAGTGCCATTTTCCTAAGACAAATAGTGTTATGGTTGAAATTGGTAGGATTATCATACATATATGATGCTAATTTAAGAAAGCCAATTTAATTGCAGCTATAACATTGAGTCATTCCTATTCGTAAGTTTACCTTGAAAACTTACAGTTAAAGTACGTATAGAATATTGGCTAATTGGGTTCGTGATAAAAGTATATCATATTGTATTATTTAAACATCAGTAAATAAACACGTTGTGCAATTCAAAGTATACCTTAGATGTCATTGATCGTCATTTCTAAAGTAACTTGGCATTTTTTATCATTATGGTAATTATAGTATTTAATCTAGGAAGATATTTATATTAAATTTTTTGTTTTTCACACGGATGTCTAAAATTGTAAAAAAATAACTTATTATCGATACCTATTTTATATGACAGAGCGTATTTAGAGGAAAGAAAGACTTTAACTATACTACCAGATGTATATAGTTAAATGAGCGATTACGATAACTAGTAGGTCTGTTACATGAAACGAATTCAAAGATCTACAGGTTGTTAATTTGTTTATTACTCGCGGTAAGAGCTTTATGGTTGAAATATGGCAACCTCGGCCCGCTCGTCGATAGACGACGCGACGGTACGAGTCGGCAGAAAACCCTACAAGTGCATGCGTTCTCAATAGGCAGTATTGCCATTCTGTTCCCCTATAAGTAACTGTCCAGTTAACAACCTGTATAGTGATATGCTTACACAGAATCTCAATAGTGTTGTTATTCTACAATATTCGATATTTAAATTATTTAATCACAGGCATAATAAATATTTCGCTAGTATTTTCTAGCAAGAAACTCATACGTTATTACACTATTTGTATAATAAGTCCCGAATAACAAAAAATCTTTGAATTATTGTCAAAACAACAGCAAGTTATGTTTTTAGTATTCCATTATATTTTAGTACACGTTGGCTGTGAACTGGAAAAATATAATAATAAAAAAACTCTACGCAATGGAGAAATGAGACACCAGTCATTTATATAATATAAAGAATAAAAAGTTCCTAATATAAAAAATAAAATATGCCGTCACTTTATTGTGGTCCCTTACTTAAACAAATTTATAAGTAAAGTTCAATTTCTGGTTTAGCAAATTTTTGAACTAAACTTAATATACTACTTAACAAACTTAATTTATAACTTACCTTTATATACCTAACTACTTAAATTGTTTGCCGCTTTATGTTTAAATTATTTATTTTACAGAACCTCAATTTATATACAAATAGTTTTTGTTAGTTAAGGAAAGTACTTAACTACAATTATTATATACTTTATAAAACAGCGGTGGCCAAATTACTATAACTACTTAATTAGTCTTTATTTTGTTTATAGGAAAAGTTTTAATTTAAATATTTTATAATGGGTATGTTGAGTATACCGTGTGTATACTTTGTCCTCTGGGCAATCTGTTTCTCTTAAGACAGTTCAATTCTTGTTAAAATTTAAGTTTGCCTCGGTTCGACATTTGACATCCACACATTGTGTGATATCGCGCTTTGATTTAAAAAATAAAATATTCAAAATACCTATGGGTTAAAATTCACATTATTTCACATTCAACATTATATTTCAGTTATGCTTTCCGCCATATGAAATATACGATATAATATTATTCCATCTTACCGCAAAATATAAAACCTGTGTTATGTTGATATTCATTTTGTTCTTAAAAATATGTTCCTTATAGAGTATGCAAGTGCTTAATATGTATCATAAGATCAAAAAAAATTGCGTCAGGTTGGCTTGAAAATGACGATCGATGGCATTCTCCCCATAATTTTATGACACGATTTTACAAATGACAATAAGATGACATCTTTTTTTTATTTCCAAGCTAACTCTGATCTTGTTTTTATTTGGGGTCATATGATATTTTTTTAAACTTAGGAAGGTATGTATTTAATTTTATATTTATTTTAGACAACTTATCACTTATTTATAAAACCTTGAGAGTAGGTTAATTAGTAGGTTTCTATTGTAGCAGACAGTACTGTTCAAGATATATTATTTTTTTAGCTTAATTTTTATAGACATTTTTATGAAAAGTAAAAAAAAAACTCATGTTACTTTTGCCATGAACTCAATAAGTCAAATTTATTTTTTAGAGTATATATTATGTCAGTGACAAATTAATTGAATGCCTAATTAACACTTTTATCGATATTATAGTGAAATGTAGCTAGTTAAAATTGTTTCTTTGTTGACTTAATCAATTCAATCTGTATTAATTTATTGATTTTTGCTGGAAGATCATAAAAAGAGCAGATTTTGATTTTATTGTAAAACGTTATATCAGTTTTTGTTATCAGTTTAATAAAAATTCTGAAGTATGTCAAGGTTCCACACAACTCTAATAAGTTATAAATAAACAATATAATCTTGTATGTATATAGTAAAAACTTTTATTGAGATTAGTCACTAAAGTCTAACAAATGAAATACCAATGTACACATATGTGTTCTAGACAACACAATGTTTAAAGGAAAGCTCCATAACGAGTTTTGAGTTTAGAGATTGAAACTTTTTTTTATTGTAAAATGTCTACGAAGTAGATCAGTGAACAACATGGAATAAATATGCAATGCTAAAATACACAATACTTTGTATTAAATAAATGTGCCTTTTAACAATAATAATATGACTTAAAAATAATTTTGAATTTGTTAAGTAAATGTGAAAGTTTATATTTTTTATTTAGAATATACCTTTTTGTTTGCTATATGTTGGGTTATGGCGCGCTCAGACGACTCGTGTACTTGCAAACATTTGTTATTGGTATACATGGTACGGCGAGTGCATCGAGCATTTGTACAAAATTTCAAAGTTATTTATTATAGAATATGCCGTATCCGCTACGGACCCTGTATGCTAATCACAATTATTTGCCAAGTACAAACATTTGTTACTGCATATACTTGCTCTTGTGCAATTATTTGTCACTTGTCGTGCCGCAAGCACCAAGCTTGTAAAGACGGATTTTCACGACTCGTGTACTTGGCAAGTACGCCAATATTTGCGTACTTGGCAAGTAAGTATCTTTGCAAACAACATTATTTTGCAATACGCTTGGCACTCTCGCGCCGCGACGGCTGACAAATAATTGCACAAGGAAACGACTTTTAATGTTTAACGCTATGGAAACCACACACACAACATGGCAAGTATATGGCAATAACAAATGTTTCTCAAGTACACGAGTCGTCATAATCCGCCTTAGGATAATTATTCTGTTTCTGATTTAAATTATTACCTTATGTATAACTTTTTGAATAGAATTTTTTTTGTTATTCTACTCTATTTATAACGAGTCACATTGTGAAACATCTTATTTGGTAAACCTTTATTGTTACAACAGCAAAGTAAGAGCATAATAAAACTCAATTAAAATTCAACACAATATACCAAAACACTTTACTTTTAACACAGAGTATTAATCCTCTGTTGATCAGATGCTAACATGGTTAGCAAAAGTTAGCGAAACGCGTCTTCAGTAAAAATTAAAAATAAAGTGTTTTGGTGAACTAGTGTTTTATTTCGCTTATCGCTTTGGTGTTACAAAATAATAAAACACTAATTCGCCTCAATACACGAAACTACTTTACTTTTAACATTGGATTTATTAGATATATAGACTTTTAACATTGGATTGCGTTTCGCTAACCATTAGCATCATAAACAATCAGTGGCGGCTTAACCATAAGGTCAAATGGTCAATGCGGAAAACAAAATACTTTTTATTAGTTTTTAATTAAATGAAAAACAAAAAATCCGGCGACGACAGTTTTCAGAAGAGCCAATTAGCTATCTTTTAGTAAAAAAAGCAACTTTCTAGAGCAAGTCGTTACTTCAGTAGAGACGACACAGATAAACATTAGCATTTTATATATGTAGATAATTTGGCAAGACTTTGACAAGCCTCAAAAATCTAAAGGCTAGTTCATACGCATCGGCGTCCGTTTGTCGTTCATCGTTCCGTCAAACCAATAAAATTGAAATATATGATCTGTCATTTTTGAAATAAACCAATATACTGGTTAAAAATAACAAGAGACGACGCATGACGGATTTATATTTAAACCCATCCATAGTTAACTTAAAAAATATTAGAAACTTTTTTTAGTAAAATAAATAGATTGGTATGGGACGTCATCTGTTTTTCTTCTGTCATCGTCTGTCGAAATCATAAGGTCAAATGGTCAATGCCCCCCTGGAATAGATATTTTAAAATAGGCAACATGGTATTTTTTAGTTTGTGAAATCGTGCGGTTAAAAGAAAACAATTGCTTAAATTTCGAAAAACGTTTAGAGAAAGAATGCCGCATTGACTTAAAATATAAAAAAATGTGAAATAAAACTTTTAGACTTGTGTATTTGTATATATGCATTTATATTTTTGTGACATTATTATTTAAATGTCTTTTAAATCCTATCGTGGAAAATTTGTCTAAAGAACATTAACTGGATTTTTAATGAAACGGCACTAGACCACCTGTTTAAAAATGTAAGGGCAGGTTTCATTTTAACAGAATTTATATACCTTGTAAGAAACCAATTAAATTTGTCTTAAAAAATATCGACGCAATAGTTTTAGATATTGACCTCCCTACAATAGTAACCATGAGCCGCCACTGTAAACAAACAATGATTAAAACTCAAGTTTTATAAGTAAAGTCTTTTGGTGTATTGTGGTGATTTAGTGTTTTATTATGCTGTTGCATCACCAAAGGTTCTAACCCCCAACTATAATAAGCAAAATAAAACACTATAGTTCGCCATAGCTAAACACTTTAAAGCTGGACGCGTATTTCGCTGATCATGTTATCATCATCAGCCATTAATTATAACTTAATTAAATTACCTTTAATCAACAGATTATGGTAACATGGTTATCAAACCGCGCGTCCAGCCTTAAAAGTATTGTGGTAAATTTTTGTATTTTAATTTGTTCTCTTTAAAACTCGATATTTTTAATGTACAGGATCTATGGATGTACAGCTGATATTTATGGAAATGGTCGATTATTGGGTAAAATATACGAGGTAGTTATAAATTTAAATATACAGGATCGGTTATAAAGTCGTAACACATTTATTAAAACGCATTTTTTTAAATAGAAGCCCCTGTATATTATTACATATTTCAATTATCCTTCAATTTTAAGTAAAAATTGTAATACACATAATGTATCGAAATCCAACAGTTTCCGAGTTATCGAGTTTTCAAAATATCGCTTAAACAATTTCTAGGTACCTATAGTTTTTAAAATCTATGTATTTGAAAAAAGAACAGTTATTAATAAAATTAAAAAAAAATATCTTATTTTGCTTTAGATTGAAGGAAGATTTTAAATACCCAATAATATACAGGGGGTTCTTTTTAAAAAACTAAATCTTTTGAGGTGCCATGACTTTATGACAAGACCCTATGTACTTAAATGTTACAAGCTGATACGCATTTAAACACCCTGTAACTTTTGTATTTAACTTTTTGCAGTATCTTGTATATTTTACTCAATAATCGATCGTTTCCATACATATCAGCGACCCTGTATTTAGTATTTACATCTTTTTTAAAGATTTGGCTTGTAAAACACTCTTTACCTCCGTGCATCTGACAAAGTGACAAATAACTTAATGGCACACAAAAATATTTCATTTAAAAACTTAATATGATTTAGATTCAAATAGGTTTCATACACATTTAGGTTTTAAAAAACTAAAACTGTATTATTTTCTGAATTATAATATGTATTTAAAAGTAGTTTAACAATTGTCATTGTATGCACAAGTTCGTGTTCTGAGGATATAGTAATGCCTCTTTCTCAAGTACTTTACAAATATTTTAATATTCATAATATACAGGGTGCATTTTCTGCAACAATATTGTATTCAAATTTATTTCTTAATAAAAATATTATAATTTATCAATACCGATCAATTTTAATTTGTGGCCCTAAAAACAAATTATTTTACTTTTATTTTCTGGCATAACTATTATACAGTCTTTGAATTGCATCCAAAGCTGCTGTGTCTTTAGCTATTTGTACATTTTCTCCCCAGCCTGAAATACACATAATTTTAGAATTTATAACTACCTGTAAATTACTAAATATATACCTATTCCTAGTAAGCTTTTATTGTTGCTATCATAAAGACCCACTTGGTAATTTGCCAAAATGGTATTAACTGCACTTTGATTACATAATCTCGGTTCCACTTTTTTAATACCTCTTTGCTCTAAAAGTTTCACTACATATTCATAAGGTTTTTCTGGTGTCCAAATATCATAAATATCTTTGCCATTCATTTGTGCAATTACAAAGTCTTTTACAAATAATTGGGCTCTCTCGAGATCACTTGATAAAGATAATGCAGCAACTAATGCTTTAAAAGAATCTGCCAAAGTTCTTTCTTCGAGTGGATATTCCTATAATAGTCAAAAGAATATTTCAAACTAAACGTAACTAATAGGAACTCACAACAGCCTTAATAAGATCGGTGAAGCCTAAATGCTTAGCAATGTGTGCTAACATTTCATCTGTTGTAAGATACTTTTGTACTGTTATAGCAATTTCTTCAGGATAATTTTTTGAATATTCTTCTTTGATGTAATCGGATATAATTGCATTGCCATCTTTAGCCAAGTCGTAATTATGTTGTTCAGGAATGTAAGATTCGTTCCCTTAGAAAAAACTTATTCAATTTAGGTAAAGGATATAAAATAATTCTGTATCAGTGAACCAATTTTTTGGAATATTTCTTATAAAATATTATGAATTCATAGATATACCTTCTTCTTTAGCTTTGAATTCCTGAATATTGGCATATTCCCTCTGGACCAGGGCTTCGCTTAAAATATTTTTATCAAACGTTTCTCCTATTCTATTTTGAAAACAATGTAGTTCAACATCATAATTCCACTCTAGATATGATGACCTAGGTTTGTTTGGATCCGGGCCTACCTTCTTACGTCTTCTACTTAGTTCTTTCATAGTTGGAGCCACCCATCGTTTAATATTCCTACAGCCTACAGTATAGAAAATGGATAACAATATATGTATAATTATATTATAATTAGTTTATTGAAATGTATAATTAAATCTATTTTTTTATGTATATCATGTATATTGTAACTATTTATGTAAAATACCTATATATTGGATATTCATGCTGCTCTGACCAATTAAACGATTCGTAGCTTGTAATATATGTCTACAAAACATTATATTGGTATTTTAAGACAGCTGAGGAATTACAGAAAAAAGTAAATGACTGCTGCAGTATCTAATCACTATCTAATGAGGAAAGAAAAACAAAATATAATTTTAAGCTCTGATTTTAAAATATTCAAGATCTTTGATTTTTGCAGGTTATGGCTAATGATTAGTCTGTCATATGTCTGTCATAGTGAAAGAATACATTATTTCTTCTATGGTTAGTAAGCCATTCCATCTTTTTATATATGAACATAGACCAGAGACTATGTATATGAACTAGAGATGTGAAAATACAAAATTCCCGTATAACTTGGTCGACTTGGTGTAACAAGACTGGGCGTTGGGCATATTATAGGCACGGCATATAAATCACACGGCAGGCTAACTCTGCCCAGATCCCATTGTTTAAAATTTCTATAAATTGGACCTTGAAATCACCATTAAGGGTGCCGAGTCAGGGCCGGATTAAAACATGTCAAAAAATTTCCCAGAAAATCAACAGAAAATAAACTATTGATAAACAGGGTCCTATTAAAAAAAATACTCTAATTGACTGAAACTGAATTTTATTTACACAATACTTTTATCTAAACAAATGAATCGTTAACCGCGCATACTCCTCGAAAAGTAAAAATGAAAAAATCAATTAAACATTTAACTGTAGAGAATAAACAATTAAAATTAAAAAACATGCCAGGAGTTACAAACAAGAATTAAAGAAATACCCAATAAAATATCTATTGAGGATACGTACAAATTATGTCCATCAATGGATATAGCAAATTTTATTAATATTCAAATTGCACAAATTAACAAATCAGCTAAAGGAAGAAAAGTAACTGATGAATTTTTAAATGTTTGGCTATATACTTTTCCAGGCCAAAAATATACAAGACGCTCTTGACAAATCTATTTTGCCTTCCACTTTCAGAGACACTAAAGATAATGAATATATGACATCGATATCAAACCTGGCTTAGAAAATCTTAGTGTATTTGAGACTCTGAAAAAGAAAAGTTGAAAGTTTCGATGAACCGGATCAACTTAAACCAGCTCGGGTGTCTAATGTTGTTATGGTAAGAGGTATCTTTACCAATGGGACGCAGTCCCTAGCTTATTTTACTTGCTTCGTATTGTTACGGATTCCGTGGGTCCACTATTTAAACTCACGATAAAATACTTAACGAATTTATTTGTTTCACTCTGTACACACAACTTATACTATTTACAACACAACTTATGCAACTAGTATTACTCTAACGGTATTTCGCGGTATTATTCAAACTTCAGACTATCTTCAGACTTCAAACTTTAAACTTGTCCAACTGTCAAAGCGCGGGCCTTATATACCCCCTGGCGGTTGTTTCTAGATTTTTCTAAAGAATTCTATAATTTTCTTTACTTTCTGGCGAATGCGCCAGGTTCCTCAATGCACGTTGCGATTTTTTTAGCAGTATGCAGTTATGCAACCAGTAATACACCTTGACATTGCCCCCTTCTCAAATTTGATCGTCTCGATCAAGGTTTCCTGTCTGGTATCTGGTCTCTTCAATCGATCCAGATGAACTACTTTCATCTTACTTCTAGGGCTGCGTTGAATCCGGTACACAACATCATTTATCCTCTTGATGACTGTATAAGGACCTTCCCATGTTGGAGTTAACTTTGGGGACCTTCCTTTCTTGCGCTGTGGGTTATACAACCATACCCTATCGTCCTGTTGAAATCCCGTAGAATTAGCTCTGAGGTCGTAACGAGCTTTCATCCGGTCACTGGCTAGCGTAATCTTACTTCTTACGGCCTTATGAATTTCCATTAACCTTTCCTTCAGTTCATCCGCGTAGTCCTCTACATTTGTGGTGCCGTCGTCTGGTGATCCGAACACCAAGTCACAAGGCAACCGTAATTCTCGACCAAATAAAATCTTCGATGGTGAAAGTCCGGTGGTGTTGTGAACTGCACTTCTATACGCCATTAGGAACAGCGGTATGTGTTGATCCCAATCTCTTTGATGTTCGGCCACCATTTTCGAGAGGTGTTCTTCAATGGTCTTATTGAATCTTTCGACCATCCCATCAGACTGCGGATGTAAAGCTGTTGTCCTAGTCTTGTGAATACCAAGCAGATCACACATCTTCTGGAACAGTCTTGACTCGAAGTTCCTTCCTTGGTCAGTGTGAAGCTCTAAGGGAATTCCAAATCTACTGAAGACATTATTGACCATACTTCAGCTACAGTCGATGCTTCTTGGTTTGGAATGGCAAAAACTTCTGGCCATTTACTGAAATAATCCATCGCCACTAAAACGTACTTGTTGCCCTTGTGCGTTTCAGGGAATGGGCCTGCAATGTCAACAGCGATTCTTTCGAATGGCAGTCCAACGTTATATTGTTTCATTTTTCCCCTAGATCGAGTGCTTGGTCCTTGGCTGGCTGCACAAATTTTACATTGTCGACACCATTTCTTGACATCTTCGCAATAATCCACCCAGTAAAAGCGATCTCTCAGCTTGCTCAAGGTCTTGTTTACCCCAAGATGGGCTCCAGTTTTACCACCGTGAATTTCTTCCAATACCTGGGTAACTTTCTTCCTTGGTACCAGTAACTGAGTTGTTACTGTGCTGCCATCCGCACTTTCCCATGTGCGCTTTAACAATCCATTCTCAATAACCAGTGAATTCCACTGAGCCCAGAGAGCTTTGAAAACGAGCCCTCTGTCCGCAATATCCTGCCACGGTGGTCTCTCGCCGTTACCTTCCTTGAGCCGTAGTATTGCCCCGATGTCTGGATCTTCCATTTGGTCTTTCCTAAATTGTGTCGTCGTCCACTTTTCATCGGTTCCAAGCTTAAAACTCCTTATCATAACAGTGCCTTCGCGTTGTTCCGTTTTACAGCAATGCTTACAATTGATTTGACAGGGTCTTCTGGATAAACCGTCTGCGTTACCATGCATCTTTCCAGCACGATGTTGGATGGTAAAGTGATACTGCTGGCGCTTCTCGAGCCATCGTGCTATTTGACCTTCAGGTTGTTTCATCTCCATAAGCCACTTGAGAGCCGCATGATCTGTCCTAATTAAAAATTCTTGGCCATACAGATATTTATGGAAATGATCAACTGCTTTTACAATTGCTAGCAGCTCCTTCCGGGTAACGCAGTAATTCCTTTCTGGTTTAGATAGAACTCGACTGTAATATTCTATCACTCGTTCTTCGCCATCTTGCACTTGTGATAGCACTGCACCGATGCCGATGTTGCTGGCGTCGGTGTCCAGGATATACCTCCCTTGTTGTTGTGGGTAGGCTAAAATAGGACTTGAACATAAAGCCGCCTTAAGTCTTCCAAAGGCTACATCACAATCGGTGTTCCATTCGTAGCCGACTTCATCACCTGTAAGCCTATGTAAGGGTGCAGCTATATTGGCAAATCCCTTGACAAATCTTCTGTAATAAGTGCATAAACCCAGGAAACTTCTAAGTTCATGTTTGTCGCGAGGTTTAGGCCAATCCTTGATTGCAGCGATTTTCTTCTGATCGGTGTAAATTCCGTCTGCCGAAACTACATGACCCAAGAATTCCACTTGTCGCTGGAATAAGCTACACTTCTTCGGGTTCAAGTACAGGTGCGCATTCCTTATGCGGCCGAAGACTTCTTCTAAATTTCGCAAATGCTCCTCAAAGTTCTTCCCATAACCAATACATCGTCGAGGTAAACCAAGCACGTTTTCCAAGTTAATCCTCTTAACACCACCTCCATGAGACGTTCGAAAGTGGCTGGAGCATTGCATAATCCAAACGGCATGACCTTGAATTGGTATAGTCCGTTTCCTGTAGAAAAAGCCGTCTTTTCTTTGTCTTCCTCGTCCAGACCAACTTGCCAGTATCCACTCTTTAAGTCGAGAGTGGAGAACCAGCACGAACCTGCCAGAGTTGTTAATGTGTCATCTATACGTGGCAGTGGGTCGCTATCTTTCTTAGTGACGTCATTGAGCTTCCTATAATCCACGCAGAATCGTGTACTACCATCTTTCTTCGTCACCAAAACAACAGGAGATGACCATGGACTCGATGATTCTTCGATAACTCACTCTTCTAGCATCTTATCTACCATTGTCTCCATTTCTTGTTGTTTGGAAAGGGGCACCCTTCTAGGACGTTGTCGAATCGGCTGAGCATGACCAGTATTAATCCGGTGCTTCACAAAATCCGTTCTTCCACTGTTGTTCTTCTCAAAAATACTGCCATGCTTTAGCAGGAGCTGCTTGGCCTTCTGTTTCTCCTCAGGTGTTAGGTGATCCCATGGCTGTTCTAGATGTTTTAGTGTTTCTTGGGATGCCTTTTGTGTAACAGCTGACGACACTTCATCATATCGGGTGACACTTCTTACAGGTTCGCAGATGGCTATCTTGTCACCTTTTTGGATCTTGACACAATTCGGGAAGACATTCGCAATTCTGATCGGTATATTCTTGTCGGTGTTCACCAATGATTTTCCTACTAAGTACCTATCTTGTTTCTTGTCGACACTTTGTACCAGTCCAACACAGCACCCAGCGATTTTCTCCACTTTACCGAATACGATCTTCTCGGTATTACCAGGTATCACCACAGTTTCCGCTGATCTTACATCCATTCTTCCTGGTCCCTCGTCTGGAGATAACATAAACTCTTCATTTCCGATATTCAGGATATTTCTCTGGTGATCGAACGAAAATCCATGTTGACGAATCACATCCATGCCCAAGATGAAGTCATCTTCAATATCTGCCACTAAAACGCTATGCTGGAACTTCAAATTTCCTAACTTCAGTTCGACGATAGCCTCTCCCCGTACAACGGCCATTTCCCCCGTAACTGTACGTAAACACACTCTTCTTCTCAGAGGCATCAGCTTCAATCCTTGCACTGAGTTAGCCCGCACCAACGATACCATAGCGCCAGTGTCCACTGTCATTCGGATTCCCTTTCCATTGACTTTCCCGTCGATCACCAAACTGTCAGCGGTTCTTCCTAGACTTCTAATGGAAAAAATCCTGGGGGCTCTGTTCTCCCCAGTCAATACTTGCCCCTTAGTATTGACTGATTTTAGTTTTCCTGGTGCCTACGTTGTCTGGATGGTGAACGGGATCGCATTTGAACGCGGCAATCCCGTTTGATGTGGCCATTCTTGCCATATCTATAGCACC